TGATGGCACACAATTCAATCAAAGCTAATATCAAGGAAACTACCAGAAGTCTCTTAACTAACTTTCCATAGCTTGTTGTAGCCTTTTCCCCAACACTTCATCCACATATCAAAGGAAGATGTAAAGGCCAAAGTAGGGACATACTGTGTGTAGGCAGACAATTCTTCTGGGTGTCTCTTTCCAAGTTAGAAAAGGTTCCACGTTATAAACCAGTGTCTTGAATTGGGTTACAAAATGGACAGGGAGTCAAAAGAGTTTGTTAAGCACCAGCATGTTATGCAGATGCAACCCAATTCCAGGTAGCAATATTGCAGTTGAACTAATTAAACTGTCCACATCCATGACCTGATTTGATTTGTCCTCTGCTGCTCTCTTTTTAATCTACTGGGAAACCGGCAATTGGTGTTGGAGAAATCTAACTAGATTTGTTTCAAATTTGAGATGGAATAAGATTTCTTAATACGATATTAATATCATAACCATTCTATGCAGATAGAATAATTGCTAGGATCAGTTCCTCTCCACTTTGCCCATGCTTTGCCTTTTTCCATACTTAAGCAGAGGAAGGAAAAAATAAACATGAAGTGGAGCTGTACACAAGGAACACCTTCTGTTCTGCCCCTTTTGTCCGTGTCATACGGTAGATTTTTATATAAGAGATGGTAGAAATTAGGCAAGACAGTAGCTTTTAATAACAAAAACTCTTTTCTTCAGTTGCCATCTCTCACATTCAACTTTATCCAGAACTCCTGAGGCTTTTAGTCTGCACAAGTGCTTACTTTAGTTTCACTATAACTGTCCCACCAACATACATGCCTCTGAGAGAAATCTCCTTTCCTCCTCTCATTAATTTCACTCCCTCTCTCCTTAGAATGCATCTTAACTGTTAATGAGATTTCTAGCTTTTTTCTCATCACTAGCAACCCATTTTATGCTCTCCTGAACAGCAGCCCTTTTTCCAGGGGTCCAGCGAACAGATAAAGCACCATTGATACAGTACCTCTGTTTTTATAGGCTCAGGATATTGGCCAGTTCTTGGCCAAAGAAGTGGATTCACTTGCTACCCGAGTGAAATTGGGAGGAGCCTCCGTTAATGAAACATGGCAAATCTCCAAGGAAGTTGGTCAACTGACTGATGTGAGTAGTGCCTGCCTTCAGAAGAATTCATTTATAATGAATTTATAATACTGTCACATGACCTTATTCTCACATTAATAGTTGTCAAGTAAGCTTATATTATCTGATACTTGTTGAATGAATGGAAATAGTAGTATATTATTTGAGGGTAGGATATCTTATTTTAGGTCTGGATTCTTTGATAATTTAAATGTGTACTGAAAATTGGCCTCCCACCCCGCCCTCCGAGGTCAATATGTTCAACATAGATAGATATACATGCCATTAACCTGGAAGAGCCTTGGTGGTGCAGTAGTTAAAGTGCAGCACTGCAGGCAAATTCTGCCCACAGACTGAAGTTCAATCCTGACAGGGTTCAAGGTTGACTCAACTTTCCATCCTTCCAAGGTCAGTAAAATGAGGACTCACGTTGTTGGGGGTAATCAAATAACACTTACATTGTAAATTGTCCAGAGTGCTATAAAGTGCTATGAGGCGGAATATAAGTGTAAATGTTATTGCTATTGCTAACATGCTTGAAGGGCTTCATTTTTCTCTCTAACTGACCATCATCCTATTTCCCTTCCTTTTATTTCAGTAAAATGTCTGGCCAGTAACATATGCATGGACCAGCATGCGGGAACTCTTGACACAAACAACTGACAGCTTTCTAGGACCCACTAAAGATTTTTTTTATATATAAATGTACATCATGCCAAAATGTTTGTTTAAGAGTAAAATTAGGGTTCACTCATTCAAACAAATTCTGTCCTTTTAACTACAGAATTTAAAAAATGAAAATCTTCTGCCTTCAGTTGCATTGCTGGAAAATTCTTTCCTTCTCCCATCTGAAAAAGAATCTAAGAAATGGAAAGGCATAATGGAATTGCTTTGTTTTACAGAGGGTGGATACTACAAAGATGCGTCCATGGCAGAAAAGGAAATTGCAGGCAACTCTCAAAACACTGCAGCAAGCAGCCAACAATGCCCATAGGAAAATGGAAATCAGACTGGTAAGAATCTAGCAATTCTTCATTTTCACAGGCATGACAGAATTTCATAGCAAGCTACAAAAATTTAAATTAGCAAAGAGCCATAATCAACTATGGGACCTATTATGCTCAATAAAAACTGAATGACTGTTAAACCCAATTGTGACAAATTCTGAGCTGGAGGTTTATGATGTTGACTTCAGAATGACAAATATTGTAATTAATTACATATATGTACACATGTTATGCAATGACAATAAAGGTTATTATTATTATTTATAGAAATATATTTTTAATAAATGAATATATAAAGAAGTGTACGAAGTGGCACCATTCCCAAATGAAGCCACATCCTTCCATGATATATAAACTGTCATATACTTTGAATAACTAAGAGGACTGATCCAAGAGAAAATCCATGGCAGAATTCAAATTGGTTATGTTGGCTGGAACTTCTGAGACTTGCAGTTAACCAATAGGTAGCTTCAGCTGCTAAATAGAAGCAGAAGGAAAAAATGTTGATGAGATTTATTTTTTATTTTTTATTTTATTTTATTTCGAATTTATATACCACACCTTCTCCCGAGGGACTCAGGGCGGTGTACAGCCAGATAAAAACACAATACAAACATTAAAAAACAATTAAAAGGATATATATTAATTTGGCCCCAATTTAAGATAACAAACCAATTAAAAATTAAAAATATGTTAAAAAATATGTTAAGCCAGCCCGGCTTGCTGAAAAAAGAAAGTTTTAAGGGCACGGTGGAAGGCACCGAGGTCTTGGATTCTCCTTATCTCGGGGGGCAGCTGATTCCAGAGGGTAGGTGCCCCCACAGAGAAGGCCCTCCCCCTGGGGGTCACCAGCCTACATTGTTTGGCTGATGGCACCCCGAGGAGGCCCTCTCTGTGGGAGCGCACAGGTCGGTGGGAGGCCATCGGTAGCAGCAGGCGGTCTCGAAGATAACTAGGTCCTATGCCATGGAGCGCTTTAAAGATGGTAACCAACACCTTGAAGCGCACCCGGAAGACCACTGGGAGCCAGTGCAGCTCACGCAGGAGCAGTGTTATGTGGGAGCACCAGGCGGCTCCTGTAATTACCCGCGCGGCCGCATTCTGGACCAGTTGGAGCCTCCGGGTGCTCCTCAAGGGGAGCCCCATGTAGAGAGCATTGCAGTAGTCGAGGCACGAGGTGACGAGGGCATGAGTGACTGTGCACAGGGAATCCCGATCACAAGGGCCGCAACTGGCGAATCAGGCAAACCTGACAGAAGGTCCCCTTGGCTACAGCCGTCAGATGTTCCTCCAAGGACAGCTGCGTATCCAGGAGGATTCCCAGATTGCGCGCCCTCTCCGCGGAGGCCAAAGACTCGCCCCCAATAGTCAGTGATGGAGTCAACTGACTATATCAGGATGCCGGGAGCCACAGCCACTCAGTCTTGGAAGGGTTGAGCTTGAGCCTGTTCCTCCCCATCCAGATCCGCACAGCCTCCAGGCACTGGGACATCACTTCAAGGGCATCGTTGGGGTGGCCTGGGGTGGAGATGTACAGCTGGGTGTCATCAGCGTACTGATGGTACTTCACCCCAAAGCCACGGATGATCTCACCCAGCAGCTTCACATAAATGTTGAACAGAAGGGACGAGAGGACTGACCCCTGAGGCACTCCACAAATGAGAGGCCTCAAGGTCGACCTCTGCCCCCCTGCCAACACGAACTGCGAGATACTTGTTGTGAGGAAAGGTGAGTAACCTAATAGAACGAATTCTGAGCCTGGTTATCAGGATTCAGCTTGTGATAGTTTTGTGAGAAACAAAACAAGAACTCAAGAACAGTTTAATAGTTGTTGTTGTTTTAATAAAGCATCCTCAATTTTAGAGATGAGGGCGCCTTTTTTTTATACTTAATTTCATGATTCGTTTGTAAAGCAAAAACCTACGCGCTTTCCACAATTATCTGACTTTAAAAATATTAGTGAGGAAATAGATCACTGGAGCACTATACTGCTCTATTCTGGTGTAATATGGAACTTCCTGTTAATTTTATATGTATTTGCATATGTATACATACACGTATATGTATATAAAAATCAGAAAACATGGATGTTTTATAGCAACTTTTATTTTACACATACATAGTCCAAGGGCTTATGATCTTGCAGTGGGGTTTCCTGTTTGTTTTATATTTGCTATTTTTAAAGTAATTAAAACAGGTGCCACTGTGATATTTCATTGTCTGTATCACCTCTCTTCTGGTATACATTTTACGTCTGTTATCCAACCATTATTAATGCATTTTGTGCATTCTTTTCCTAGGCTGCAGAGAAGGTGCAAGGCTTGCTGAAAAAGTATTCCAATGAGCCAGTCATCATCGATATTATTCCTGCTGAGTCACCCTTTGTGAGTTTTAACCAACTGTGGATTTCTCTTAGAAACCAGTATACCATGCTGAAGTTGTTTTGGCAATCAGCAGTTTAAACTGGCTTCCTCAAGTGTTAAGCAGCTTAGAGCAGAGGAAGGCTCACATCTGAACTATTTAAATAGTGTGAGTGAGCTGGTTGGTTCTGAACCCTTTGCTGATTAGAGTTTTCTCCTGCTTTTACGATTCTAGAGTTATGTAAACTGAAAATCTTCCTTTTGCACCTAACTGTTGTTCATTTCTCCTTCTCAGTCCAGGATATATTGCACTGCTTTATAACATGATGCAATTTAAAATATTGAAGATTTCTTCTGCTTCTTAAATTCCTTGATTAAAACAAGTAATATTTTGAAGGTGGAGTTTTATTTTTTTTTAATCTCTTGATTCTGTCCTAGATCTTGATGAAAGCGGTCAATCAACTATGTAACAAAGTACCAGGGGCTTCTGTGATGTTGTTCAGCTCACAAGCCACTGGCCAGGTGTTTTGCGCTTGCCAGGTATCCAAGGTAGGTGGGATTCCCTGTGATTCTGCAGTTTCCATTATTCTGAAAGGATAGAAGCAAAGTCTTCATGTTCTTTGAATGAGAACAAATTTTAAAATTTGTTTTTTCATTAGAACATTTTTTTCAAAATTTTCTCTTAACGTCATGGTTTTTACTGATTATTAGGGTCATCAGTAAATATCATGACATTAAAAGAAAATTTTGAGTTCCATTTTTTAAAATGGCCCCAGTAAAGTATAAGAATGCTTGTTTGGTGTGGAGGTTAGAAACCATGAGGCTGTGTGTTCTAGTCCTGCCATAGGCACAAAGCCAGCTGAATGACCTGGCTGGACACAGTAAAAATAGTACATTTTTCTCTCTTTTGAACAAAAAGTAACATCCTTTACAGTAGAATTACATCACCATAATGCCTAAACAATTTTATAAAAATGAATTAGTGGCTCTGCAACATTCATATACTAGGTTATATGGTAGACAAACATTTCAGCTTTTCATTCCATTTCAGACTTTCATTTTTAGTTACAGGTAGGAAATCACATGTTGGAGATTATTGTTGTTTTTCACTTACATGGTGATGGAATTTGGCCAAAGAAGTCGGAGATGCTAATTAAGGCAGGGCTAACATAAGGAAAAATGATCAGAAGAAATGACTGATATTACAGGAATGGTGGGCACTCTCAATATGCTGTCACTGCAACTATAAGTAATGAATTATTTCTTAAATAGCTTCTCATCTAAAATATATTATCCAAAGAATGTCCTCTTCTAAACAATCATATTAATTTACAATATTTTAGTTATCAATTTGTACTTCTTTCAGAAATATGTGAAATCTGATCTTTGAACACACTAATATGTGAAAAAATATAAGTGGTAGTTGATTTATATCAGGGTTTTTTTCTCTTAGTGATTAATTAAATTGCCTTTATATTCCAATAGTCCTTAACTTACTACCATTTGTTTAACAACTGTTCAAAGGTACAACAGTGCTGAAAAAAGCAACTTATGACAGTCACAGCGTCCCTGCGATCACATGTTCAAATTCATGCATTTGGCAATTAGCATGCATTTACGAAGATTGCAGCATCCCAGAGTCACATGATCATTTGTGGCCTTCCTAGGGGGCTCCCAACAAAGTCTATGGGGAAAGTCGAATTTGCTTATTGACCCCACGATTAATAACCATGGCAAAAAAATACCATAATAAAATCAAGTGTGATTCAATTACCTCATCAGTTAGTGACAGAAATTCTGTTCCCAAATGTGGACATAAGCTACCTTAATCAGTCCATTCTTGATTTCTCTTATTGTGTAACAAAGATTGCAAATTGTCAAATTGTTGTCATTTCTATAGAACAAAATGGACAAAAGTGGTTTTTGTATGCACAGTCTCCATTTAATTCAACAATATTTTCTTGCCACAGACCACATACTACCAATAGCCTTTTACCAATATTTTCTAATCTTAAAATTTCTCCTTCCATTTCTCAGATTAATTAACATTCTAGTAAAGTATACAAATTCAGACAGCCAGATTGATGTAGTGGCTAAGGCACCAAGCTGGAAAATAGGAGACTAAGCTCTTGGGCCAGTTACTCTCTCTCAGCCCTAGAAAGGAGACAATGGCAAACCTATATCTATATCTTTCTCTGCCTAATCTCTCTCTCGCCCCCACTCCTATCTATCTATAGATATAAGCAGGATATACAGTATAGACTAGGCAGGATGGATAGACTAGGCAGGATGGATGGATGGATAGATAGATAGATAGATAGATAGATAGATAGATAGATAGATAGATAGGCAGGCAAGTTTTGGTGTATTCGGGTCTTTTCCCGTGTAAGATTGAGAGTATCTTGGCGATGTTTCGACAAGGTCCCACTCATCATCTTCAGGCTGGTGTCTTCGGCTTCCTGTTTATGCGAGGAAAGCATGATCGGAGCTGCCGTCTCTCTATAAATACTATAAATAGATAGATAGATCCTATATATCCTGCCTAATATATATATATCCTGCCTAAGGCTGAGAGAGAGTAACTGGCCCAAGTACTTAGTTTTCCAGTCACACACATACATCTACTTCCTCTACTTTTTTACCATGTAGATATAATTTGCAATTATTCACTCCATTTTTCCAGATTCCTGACTAACAGCTCTATTTTGGTTTTTATTACCTTAATTTTCACAACTCTATTCCTTGTTGCTTCATACAACCTAATATTCATGAGAAATCATGTAGACTCTCAACTAACAACAAAATATCATCTATATACAAAAGTACGTGTAGTCCATAATTCAGGACTATTCATATCACCATACGCTTTCTCTAAATCAGTTGCAGTGCAGTTCTTTTTTCACCTGGATACATTTCTCAATTACCTGCTGCAGAGCAAAAACCCGGTCTTCATTCTTGGCAGTTCATCTATGTTCTATTAATTTGTTCCCCTTCTCAGAGTTCATTATCAAAGGCTTCTGCAGCTGACTGGGCTCTCGCTGTTTGTACTCAAATGGGAGGCAAAGCAGAAGGTTCTGGAGTTGTAGCGAAAGGCATGGCGAAGACCAATGATGTACAGATGGTACTGGCAGCAGCCCGGGAATATGCAAAGAATGTATTTTGATGCTTGGTTGTGAGGAATTTGGATGTTCGCTTGAATGACTGTGAATCCTAATGAGCTTTGTACATTATGGTCCTGCAACCCTTTGGATTCTTCTGGATTATTGGACTGGTAGAATGAGCTGCTTTGGCTAGCCAGTGTATATAAATAACTTCTTTCATGAAATACAATTTGCACATGATGTTAAGAAGAACAACAAAGATTATCCTTTGACCAGTCAAGGACAAGGCAAGTCAACCATACAGGTAAATATAATCAACCTCTCAGAATAGCTGCTAAGAAAGAAATAACTATATTTCTTTGACAATAAAAAATATAAGTTGGTTGGCTACGAGATCATGTTTTTTTATTCAATAGAACAAAAAGTTAGTATGCTGTCTCATTGGAACCATTTTCCTGACTATGTAATGGAACAAATTATTTCCAGGCAAGTATGCTATCTAGCCTTTCTCTGGCTGGTTGTACAAATTTTGCAAATAAGAATTACTTCGAAGGGAGCTTTTGCTGTTTAAAGCACTTCACACAAATAATAATTCTGGTGCAAACAACTCTGAACTTTTTATATCCAGATTTATCATTTACTTGTTTGTAATCATCTCCCAGGGTTTGCTAATCATGCCTGGATTAATTTTAAATAGGTCACATTTACCACTTTTTTTCAACTCAATTTTTTATCCTATCCTTATACTTTTTATATTGCTCCGAAATCAAGACCATTTGTTAAGCTTGCAATTATTTTTTTGGGAACAGAGGGTGGAGAACTTGTGGCTTTCAGAAAAACACTTGTAGCAGACCAATCAATGAACAAAAATAGCAAATTTGAGCTCACCTTTCATGAAGTCTCACAGTACGAGACCCTTTAAAGCCATAATTGCAGAACTACTCTCTTGTCATTTGATGGAAAGTATCAGCTGAGACTTTCCCATAGACTCAGGGTCTCGCCATGAAATGTTTTTTATAAGAAAAGACTGTTGCTGGAAATTCATAATGGGAGCTAATGAATCGTTCCTGGAAAAAGCACAACCTCTTATTTTCAGATTCCGAGCTTCCTAAAAGTGTTCCTGATGATACTTTGGCAATCAGAGGATTTTGAGTTTTCTTAACTAAATGGTACATTTCTGTTAAATCACCCCTATCAACAACAGAGAAGGAAAATACATACATGTGTGTGTGTTCTTAATTGCAGTCAAGCACTGTCCCAATACACGATTAACTAGCAAACATATGGAATGTTTTACAGTGTAGAGCCTTGGGAACTGTATGAAAGCACCTTTCTTCCTTACTTCAATCAGCACTGGTGCATTGGAAGGGAAGGAAACTCAAACCCATTGGGTTTGTTCATGCTTCTGAAAACAGCAGAGCTAATGTTCAGGATGTCTTTGTTTGGATTCTGAGAAGCAGGAAAAAAAAATGTTTGCATTAGTGTAATCTTCCATCAGTGTCATCAATATGATACTATTCAAAAAGAAAACAATTTTCACATAAAAGCTGTGTCTTATCATGTCAGTATTATTTAGTAGTATTTATTGAATTTATTTGCTGCCCATCTTGTAACGAAATGTCTCATGTGCACCACTTCAGATGCACATTTATAAGCCAAAATGCTAGTTTAGCCACATTCTTTATTTATGTTCCAGCTAAACAGTGTGTCAGTAGTGTTTTGCTGATTTCTCAATTGAACCATGGCCCAGAATTTCAATAAATTACTATTAACATTACAAATCCTTTGTATCATTTTTAAAGTATATTATTTCACACTTTTTTAAGGACTTTCATGAAATCTAATAATAATAACAACTTCTTGACTAAATAATAGTGGTATGTACAATATAATTGGTCTATTAACAAACAAATGTTTTGCAAACGTTAAAGTTGCCTACAGGTAAAATAAAAACTTAATGTAATTACCAGTAGAGGAACATGTGTTAATTTGGATTCTTCTTCAATTTGCTAGTACTTTTTCCATAGTACCTAGCCATTTCCGTGGAATTTTTTCCAATGATGCACTTAATAGTTTTATTTTAGACAAGCAGTACTTTGAACACTGCCCAGGAAATCATCTCTTGCCAAGTATTAGAGAAAATGCAATGCTCAAATAGCAATAGCAATAGCACTTAGACTTATATACCACTTCATAGTGCTTTACAGCCCTCTCTAAGCGATTTTACAGAGTCAGCATATTGCCCCCAACAATCTGGGTCCTCATTTTACCAACCTCGGAAGGATGGAAGGCTGAGTCAACCTTGAGCCGGTGAGATTTGAACTGCCGAACTGCAGCTAGCAGTCAGCTGAAGTAGCCTGCAGTGCTGCACTCTAACCACTGCGCCACCTCGGCTCAAATCACTTTAGTAATGAGAAAACCCTGTTCCTTAGATGCGATAACACTACTACTTTCATAATCTCTGACCTAGTATTTTATGGGAGTTGGAATCCAACAACTTTAGAGGTTATACATTCCATAACCTTATGTCAGCCAGAAATTGATATAAGATAGACGGCTATACAAATACTTTAAATAAACCTGTTTTAAAGCTCCACCACCACCACAGATTCTAAATTATTTAATTCTATGTAGGAGCAAAGAGTACAATGCCACAGACACACCTGTACTGTAAGGCCTTCACTGACGGAGAAAGAGTATATAATACCATCCTGCAACTTGCTTCCATTGCCGTCTTTGGGCTGCTGGAGTGGTGGCAGCCGAAGAGAGCATGGCGATTCATTGAGCCTGGCCTGTCTCTTCTGCAGCAGCAGCTGATTTCTCAGCACTAGAGAAAATAAAAATATCAGTTACAAAGCTTTTTTTTTTAAAACCTACATGGAAAGTATTGTACCCATGTTGCACCAAGTTTCATTGAAGGGACCTGAAATGTACCATCAGAATGTGATGGAAACACTAAAAGGAAGTGATAATGGATAAAAGTTGGAAAGTACAATATGGCTTTATCCTGTACAAGGAATGTGGAAACTAGATTTTTGCTCTTTGATAGGTTATTGAGAAATTTAAATATAAGCAAGTTTACTGGGCATTTGTTGTGGCTCCGTTACCTGAGCCTGTGTCATCGGCAGGAGAGGACTTCGAGAGTGAAGGAGAGGAGTTGGCAAGGCCTCCCTCTCCAGGACCCTCCTCTCTGGCAATGCCTTCAGTGTCCGCCGAAGGGCAAGAGATAGGGCCGGGGCCAAGCACGTCCACGCAGCCACAGATGGACAGTGATGAGGGTAATGAGTCTTGGCTGGATCCACGCCAGCGTCGCAGAGATAAGCGCGCGTAACAAGAAAAGGCATGCCTTTCTGGGTGTGGTCCAGTGACTCATTAGGCTGAGTCACTGGACCACACCCCACAGGATATAAAAGGGAGCGTGGTGGCCAGTCAAACCTTGTGACGAACAAAGCTGAAAGCTTCCACGCCATTCTGCATTGCCGGACTTTTTGCTATAGACTTTGCTGGATTATCTCTGGACTTGATTGACTCCGTAATTATTGAGCTGTTTCTTTTGATGTACCAGGAGTGGGAAGAAGTTATCTCTCCTCTTCGTAAATAATAAACTCTTGGCAGGCAGCCACTAGGGTGTTGCCAAGTTCCGTTATCATAAGGAAAAGGATTTTGCCAGCTGGTTTGGTCTTTAACTCTTGAACGTCTGTTGGTGTGTGTGCGTGTGGTTGGGGACAGAACAGCATTTCTTGATTTAGAGGAAGTACGTGGAAAATTGAATTGGCCTGAATTATGTAATACTTTGCATGTTTATGTAGCTGGGGGCTAATACAGGATAGAGCAGCATATGACAGAAATAAAGCATATGTGAGAATTAAGTGCCACCCCAATGAATTGTTCAGCATTGTCTCTTTGGTCGTTCATATTTATGGATATGTTTATAAGGTATACTTGTGGCGAAAATAGATGTTATGTTGGTTGGGGATGTAAATATACATGTATTCTTACTTGCAGATAAAGCTGTATCCCACTGATTTGCAGTGAATGTTAGCTTCTATAATTCAAGGATTATGGATTTTAAGGTTAATGTGATGCTTTAGTTGTGGCAGGAAAATGGAGAGACAAATTCTAATTTAAACATACCGTAATATGGTTTATTCAGAAAGGGGATAGCACAATCGCTATGCATTTATGTTTTTTTCTTCAATTTCCACATGACAACAGACCTACCTGGAACTCTTTGTGCACTTGCCACAGATCTCTTGAGCCAGTGTTTTTGAAAGGCAGCCCAATATGGCATTAGCATGCTGGAGACTGAATCCTTCAGACTGTCAAATAAACTTAGAGGTGGAATCTCCTTCTGGAGGGCCTGCTCAGCTGCCCGGATAGCTCTGCCCAGCCTCTTATTATCTACAGCCACCTGAAGGGCAAGCCACAGACATTTAGCATTCTGCATGACAAGATTATCCCTGGAACTATAGCTCCTTTTTCCTTTTCCTTTCCAGTCGCACAGTAAGACACAGACCTAATTATTTGGAGGTCAACTGTATGATCTCCTATTATTTTCCTGCAATTTTGACCTCTGTTGGAATGGAACCTGGTTTCACTGCTAGAATTACTAAGGCAGCAGTAAATGATCAGCGAGGCCATTTTCTAGATAAAAGAAGCTGAAATAAATTTAGCTAATGGGAGGTAGATGATGGCATTTCATTATTTTGGAATTGCTTCTTTGGCAATTCTAGGAATACTGACTGCTAGATTGTTAGGCTTCTCAGTGCATCTTGATAGATTATTTCTGAAATTTTTGGTGCTATTGTTTTGACTCCTAGTCCCTTTTGGCTTTGTACAGACTCCTGGGCTATATCAGTGATGCTAATTACTTTCACAGATACTTATGTGATTACCATTTATTTGTAAAAAGTA